TGTCAATACGTAAGCGCTTGTCTATAATTAGTGATCAAAGATCTTTTTAACACTGAAAAATGCGAAAATGCGTACACATAAGAAAATACATATTGCATTCAAGATATATAAGAATATTACTTGTTTTAAGTATTCTATAAGATTATGTATATCAGCAAATCTATCATAACTTGATCATGAATATCAAATTTATTCGAAATACAATTAAATACATTAAATACATTCTGAACTCTAATAGAGATTTAACATTTCAATCAAGAATATTAAATTGAAAATTTAGTAGAACTCTAATAGAGATTTAACATTTCAATTAAGAATATTAAATTGAAAATTTAGTTTGCTTACTGATAGAATCAAACTAATTTTTTTTTCTAAAGTTTTGCAATATTCTTGTAAAGAAAATACATTTTACCTTGAATAATCTAATATGATCTAATATGAGATAACGATATTTTCTAAAATTCGTGATTAATATATTATTTTAATATTATTAAGGATATATTTTTTATATTTTAATACACTATAAAAACTGATGTGTTAAATTTAACACATTTCACATGTGTCCCAAATCATCCACTCTCATTTATGTGTAAATTTAACACAAAACAAATGTGTTAAAAAGTAATATGGAAAAAATACGCATAATATGGAAAAAATTAACACAAGAATTTAACACTTGAATACCGTTAGGAATCACAGATTGTGTTAAATTGATATTGATATATTTAATATGTCAGACATAGATTATGTCAATTTAACATTTTCATTTCATCAAAACTATAGATTAATAAATATTCAAGTGTTAAATTCTTGTGTCTTTTTTACATATTGTGCGTGTCACTTTTTACCATATTTATTTTGTGTTAAATTTACACATAAATGAGAGTGAATGATTTGTGACATATGAAATGTTAAATTTAACACATCAGTTTTTACAGTGTACCATCAAGAAAAATTTTTTGTAAAAAATTATTTATTTACAGGAAGAAAAGTAAACTGAATAATCGCTTTTATTAGCAGTAGAATGATATTTTCTTTTGTGTATGCATATTATCAACACAATGGCGCTTTTGACACACCTAACTGAAATTGTCGTATTGAAATTGTTGTTTCTCTTTTAAACCAGAAGCAATCGGAACTTTTTTCGAGCGCTGTATTTTTGGCGATCGAATTTCACAAAATAGATTAAAGTCGACAAATACTTCCTTTATACTGAGAGAAAAAATACTTAAAAATAGATATTTATTCGATAGATACCAATAACATATTTACTTGTATTAATGTATATATATTTTTTTTTTGAGAAAAACTTTTTGAAATGAGGGAATATATATTTTTCTAAAACAGTTGCTTTTTATATATACAATTGTTTATTCTATTTATTCGTTTTAAACAAAAGAATTTAAACTTAATATATATAAAAATATGTTTAATATATATAAACATATTATGGATAAATATGTATGTTTCATATTTTTTATTTAATGTATGTTATTTTTTGTATGTTTAATATTTTTTTTACTTTTTATATATTTTTTCTCAGTGTAGAAGGGAGTGCTCCTAGTCCCATAAATTAGCGAGAGGCGAGAGACACTCGTAGTCTCAATGTCTCAGCTGCGAAACTAGTTACATTTTATTGTTACATGTTGCATTTATATCTGTATTATGCCAATATCTTCTTGTCCATTTTTATCCTACAGCTTGTCTTAATATTAACTAGAAGAGATAAGTTTTTATATTATTTATTTGTATCTCTAAGACTTGACTCACGTAAAAAATTTTGAATGACATGTTTCAATATCAGAATTGTTTCAACACGCAATCTGATTCTAAAAAAGCGATAATCTACATGGAAAAAGATTTGGTTGAATCATATTTCTGATGAAATATGAACGAACTAAAATCCCAGTTGAAATTATCAGAATTCTGTTTACGTCAACAAGATTTCCGGATAACACAAACAGAATTCTGACAACCTCAATTGAGATTTTCTGGCTCATTCATATTTCACCACAAATTTCGTTAATCAAACGTTTTTTCGGTGCACGATACCTATGTCCGTTCTATCGTATTTCTCTCGATGACGATACAAATTGCACACCTGGTCACGCTTATAAAGTTGGGGGGTGTGTTTCTTTTCGCTTCTTGTTTACGCACTCCCCGCCGTGTCAAAGGTTTCAACGGATAAAACCTTTCAAAGGAGGTGCAGGACCGCCCAAGTTGCATGCCATATGCACTGTATAGACTGTCGGTCGATCGATCGGTCCTTGACCGGATTGATGTGTGGAAGAATGCGAAATAACGAAAGAGGCCGAGATGTGCGTACAACACTTTCACCTACACCCGTCCCACCCTGTTCTTGCGCCGTGATTCATTTAAAGGTGCGTCCGCCGTGAACGGGTACGATGATCTCGCGGGTGATTAAAAGATCCCACAAAAATCTGAAATATCCGTTTTAAGTCTCCGTTCTTTGTCTCTTTTTAAGGGACGTAGAATCAACGTTTGAGAGAACTAGAATTGACAGAAAATATCTTAGTATCGATGTAATAATATGTGTCAGGGGAAACGAATTCTCTTAGATGGCTCACGAGTATTCAACAACGCGAGTCCGTCCATTCGCCGATGCCGGCACATTGTTAAAGCACCTTCAAAGTGCTCGCTGCAGGCGTGGTGCACGCGAACTTCAACCGTGCCGCGCGTTCTCATCCTCCTCTCGCGTTGCATATTAGAGAGGTCAGGGTATCCATAGCCTCGTTATAGCCTCTTGCGCTGTAAGCAATTTTTGACCGGTCTGGCTGCCGATAATATTCTCCACTGAGATATGATAAAGTAATTTACAAATTTTTCCGCGGAATCGTGATAACTACGAAGATTTGTGATACTTGTCACCCTCGTCTTTAAAGTTTTTTTAGCATTTTTGAAAGATATGAAAATCCACACGAAATAAAATTGAAGTTGAATAAAGAAAGTTATTAAGCTAAAATTGCCAATGCCTAGATCTAATATAATCCTGGGTATTCTTATTATTTTGATCTTTAAATACGAATATTTAAACTTTCAATATAAAATATATATATGTACTGATTATGAAAGAAAAAATATGTAAGAAATAAAACAATAGTCGATGAATATTAATAATATATCTACTTAAAACTAAATTCTTTTATTTAAATAGGACAAATAATTGCTTTCATGAAAAGTTAAAGTTTGAAAAAAATGTAATTTTCTTATTGGAAAAATATTTTATATTAGTATAAGTTTTGGTTAGTATAAGTAAATATTAGTACCAATCGAAGAAATATTATTTATTTCTTAACTTTTGTTTCAGTATATGCATATTGAATATATCATGTATTTTATGTTGACAATTTAAATATTCGTATTTAAAGAGCAAAATAATAAGAATGTTCAGGATGAGGTCAGTTCGAGAGTCGGTATTTTTCCATTAAAAGTTGAATATTTCCAAAGAAGCGAATGATGCTCAATACTTCCGAGCAATCTAATATCCACGTTGATTACTCCAAGCCGCGACTTGTAATCTAAAACGTGAGAATAGTTTTGACGCTACGTCTTCAATGAAAACGAACATACGAATATACGCGCGCGGCGTGAAAGGCTCGACGAGAACGTGTTTCAGCTGATTCCGCCGCGGCGGAAATTTTTCAGTTACGCTCACGTCAGTTGAACTTCACATGCCGCCTTCTCCCGCGATCGTAAAGGTAATCGCAAGTTCGTCCCGTGCAACAGTCTCATCCTCACCCACGATATTAGAAGCCGACAATTCACCGTGAATTTTACGAGCGTGTTCGCGCCGCGAACGAGCAGCGTGCGCATAATTGTAGTTCATTACGATAAGCTTCGCCGTGTGAAGAAGCGATTCACGGGGGTGGAAAGGCACCAGATGGTGTGAAGAAGGAGAAGAAGTAACATAAAGTCGAGATAAGAGGTGACCTTTAGCCGCGGTATTATCACGTTCATTGATAAAATGTATCGCTCGCGTCGCGTTGTTCGCGCGCGCTCAAATTTCCAATGGGTCGCGGTAGTCCCATCTCAAGGCGCATATAATCGCGTGTCATAATTAATTACGTATATTAGGCTTCAGATTCCACGGTAAATTACAGAGCCGCCGCGGCGACGTAAGAAGGAACAACTTCGCTTCGTTCCTCTCGCATCGGATGACGCAACGACGTTATATGCCGGTAAAACTGGCATTTTCGATGTATGTCACTGTGTCAGGTCAGGCGATCTCGAAATGAGCGAAGTTGCGTCGCTTTAAATTGGACCGCGCGTCTTAATCGATCTCGAGACTCGCGCACGTCGGTCGGAAATCTCTAATTACGCAATATGCCACCCACAAGCGTGAGTGGATATTGACATTAAAGAGCGTTCTTTCCTTCTTTCTTTCGCCGGAATCTCGTCGGTCACATCGTTGTTATATGGCATCCGCCATCTTTTTCGTGGGAACGCGATATGATCGGGCGAACGGAACATGCGATTCGTCGTGAAAGAGAAAGAAATTCCCCGTTGGGCGAAATATTCGCAATACGTAGACGATTCTTCCCACACTCAGGGAAAAATATAATAATGGCAACTACACAGGTCACAACTGTTTTGTATGTAGAATTATAGTGTATGCAGTTGAATAAATCATTTTGTAGTTATCGCAAAAGTAAAGCTCTCTGTGGCTGCAAAATAACTATAAAATAGTTTGTTCAACTATATACATTAATTCTGCATACAAAACTCATATAATTGTCAGTTACATAGTCCCCATCATGTCTTTTTCTCCGAGTGCATAAAAGACGAGAGCAAAAACACATTCACGATTCATCGAGTCATCTTTCGAGTTCGAGGATCGTCCGCGAAATCGTACTTAACGATTGACCAGAAGGCCCGTTCGTTAGCAAAAGAAATCACGCGAACAAATTTGGAATACAAATTTCTCTCGACACCACGACGAGTGTTAATTGAAGGGAAGGAGATGAAAGAAAACACGGGGACAAGTAGAAACAATATATATACTGATTTATTGCGTAACGACAGTTATGTTGCTCTGTAGGGGTTTCTCCGATACTTGTTGTTGCCCGCCGTACTGTGTCCTATATATACACGTATCACTTCCGGTTAGAGTCCGGTTAGAGGTGATCCGTAGCAGTCGGTCGATATCTAGCCGAGCCTCCCTCCGACGGATTCGTCCGGCTGTGCGCTGGTCGTGGGTGCATATTTCGCGGGGAGAAGGGGAGGGAGCTTTTCGTGCGATCGAGGTGCGAAACTAGAATCTCCGGAAGGGATTAGCGTTGTACGCCGGTCCGCCGAATCGCTGCTGGAATGGCTGCTGTTGATCGTACTTGTCGTACTTGGAGTCGTCGGGACCGGGTGGGTTTGCCGCGAGCGCTCTTCTGATGGCCTCAGGGATGGGTGGCGGCGTTGGGATGTGTGCACCCTGCGCGTGGAAACCGTTCTCGTCGGCCGTGTACTCGATGGTGATGGGGGTGCCGTCGGGCGCGGGGTACGAGTATCTGCCTTGAACTACCTGCGAGGTGATTGAAACAGGAGGACAATTAGAGAAATTGGAATGTAGAAGAGAGAGAAAGAGAGAATCTCCCGAGAGATTCGTTACACGGGAAGAAATATTCGCGATACGTAGATGATTCTTCCCACACTCAGGGAAAAATATAATAATGGCAACTACACAGGTCACTGTTTTATATGTAGAATTGTAATGTGTGTAGTTGAATAAATCATTTTGTAGTTATTGCAAGAGTAAAGCTCTCCGTGGCTGCGAAATAACTGTAAAACAGGGGAAGATTATAGTTCTTTTTTTTTTAATATAAGTTCTTTTTAGTTTTATTATGTTTCTAGCAATGTAAGAAAATAAACTGTTATTCTAAGAAACATAGCAAATTTCGTGAGAAATATATAGCGAATTTTTTAATAGCACTGGTTCTTAAAATATAAATAGCACATATGAAATGAAGAGTCGATTACTGCAGATTGTCGATCTATTCCTCAGTTACAAAGATAATCTATAGTAATTTTCATTTATAAAATTTTCTCCATGTATATATAGATGTTAGGATATATATGAACATTTTTTAAAGTCCTTCGATCTTCGAGAAGTAAAATTTGTAGCTCTTGGAAATTTTTTCTAGATCTTTAAATCTTAGATAAATAAATTTCAAGGATCTTAGAAAATCTTCTAAGATCCTTGCATCTCAGTTCTGTAAAGTCCAAGATTTTAATAGATTTTTCTTATATTCTGATACTTGTTTCTATTCTTTTTGTTCAAAACTGACTATAATTATAAATATAAATTTAATAATATAAGTAATTTAATAATATAAATTTATAAAAATTTTTTCTAATATTTTGATACTTTTATTTATGTTCTGTTTCTTCAAAATTAATTAAAATTGAATATATTCTTATAGTCGAATTTAAATATCAAATTAATTACCGGCAAATTTAAGTTACTGCATAAAATTTTCTCGGGCTTTTAACAGGCTGAGTTAGATCTTTAAAATCGCATAGTGCATCAATTATTACCTCTGTTTGACCCTGAGGACCGACTTGTGGATATCCGCTCTCAGAGACGGAAATTCCATTCTCAGTTTCATAACTGAAACTGTAAGATCCATCCGGTGACGAGTCCTTTTGCTGGCTTCGAATAGCTATGAACGGCTTTGCGGGCGATCTGCGGGCAAAAAATTGAAACCGTATCGTTTCCGCGTAGCAGCCTTGAATGCTGAATGGTATTAAGTTGTGTAACGCGGAAACTGCTCCAGTTACGTGTTTTCATTTATGTTAATTTCAATGCGAAATGATAACTAACTAGACAGACGGGAGCTGTAGCAAAAAATGACTGCGTCAACCAACAATCTAACGTGTCTATAATTTTCTAACGGCATTATTTAGAAAAACTTTATATTTTAGTCCCAGAAACACTTCATTATTATCTTCCTGATATTATTTCCCCAAGATTATATTTTGGTTATTATTTTTTAAGTTGCTTTAAATGTAACTTAAAGAATTATTTTATAAAATTATTTTTTAAGTTATCTTATTTAACACAAGAAATTCCCTCGAATATTCAAATTTCCTGAAATATTCGGGAATTAACTCGTTAATAATGTATAATTCTTTAATGAAATTGCGCGGATCAATTGAAGCTCAACGATTGGTTCTTTTCGCAAAATTCATACGTGTACTGAGGCGGCTGCACCGGCGGTTGCGGCTGGTAGGGCCTCGGCGTTGGTCTGTACGCATTTTGGCCAGGAAAGCCGCGGTATGGTCCGAATTGTCCGAAAGCGCAGCCGAAGAGAGCCAATGCTAAGATCTGCAAGCACATTGATACGTTTGCGCGACAAGCTAACGAGAATATTCGCGGTTATCTCTCTGGATAAACACGTTTGCAATTAAGAATCGGGGACGAGATTATAACATTTTCGCAATTGATTACGTTGATAAAATTTCTCATTGACAATTTCAATCCGCGAACTCGACGAAGAGCAGAAAAGAGACCATCGGCCGCGACTGTATCGGCGTATCTTACTATGCTTCACGGTTTCCGCGAGCTTAACCGCTTAACATTTGAAGATGTTACATTTCCCAACAGCTGTTGAAGCGAGAAACCCGTTATTTCGGCGTCCGTGCAAATGCCTCCACTTTCCCACCGTGTGTTCCTTACGCCATATTCCCGAGCGCGAAATCCTGCCGCGACGAGACTGGATTTCCTCGCGAACCGAAAATCCCGGAGTGACACGTCGTCGAGGATAAATTGCACCGATGCGAACGTCCACCGATTCGTCGCGCGTTCTCTCGAGTGCCGTCCGGATATCGTCGCGCAATTCCTACCGCGTGATCGTCGCAGTCACTTCGGCGGGAACGACGAAGTGTCGTTCCCCGGAGTCGAGACCGGATAAAATAAGGAAGAACACGCGAAACAGCGGCGCGAGCGGATGATCGGCGAGAACGGTATCGATGTCCAGAGGAACAGCCGGCTCGCTGTCGGAGACAGATCACTCACTAGGTACTGCATGACGATGACGATGACGACGACAACTACGACGACGATTGTCGGCGGTTCGGTGCGGCAGTCGATTTGAACGAGATCGAATCTGTGATCCCGTGCTGCGAGCACCGCCGGCATTTATATGAAGACGCCCAAGAAGATCTTCCCTTCCCATTCTCCCGGGCTTCTGTACACAGTCGCCCGCTCGCTCTCGCGCCGGGGGAGAGGAGCATTTTCTCCTCCCGTGTCACCCTCCCCTCTGCTGAGGGATACCTGATCGCCCTCGCGCTCTCGCCCCACCCCGTGCCAACCCCGTGCATCTCGTTGTCGTCGTCATGTCGTCTCTTTAGCATCAGGTTGCTCCTTACGTGGCGACATGCCGCCGCCACCGTCGCCGCCGTCGATCGTTCGCGCCGATTCAACCGCGTGAGCCAATTTGTTGGCACACATTGGTGCGCGCACAAATGCCCACGCGGCTACTGTTTCGGTTTAATAGAGTCGTTCATTAGCGCATTCTCGCCGTGAGGTGCACAGTGGGTGTCATTGTACGCGGGTGATGATACCGGCGATAAATATGCAGCTTAGCGCGTTAATAGCCCAGACAAAGATGACACCTCGTATGTTTTTCTCTCGAGGCGGTTATGTAGATGCGTTGGTTAAACGAGAGAGCTGTATTTTATCGGCGGGATCCCCTCGGTCGATTTGCATGTCGATTTCTTCTTGACGAGGATGCGCTCTTGCGCGTATCTAGTAATCCGTAACTCTACGACGGGATTTTGTCGGTGGAAATTATACAGATTGGATGAGATTAGATGAGAGACGCGATTCTTGCAAATCGACTGAATTCATTTCTCGCCGATCGCGCGGCAGAATCGCGCGAATCACCTACATGGAGGCTATTTTATGGCAAAAATCACTGTGGAATTTTCTAATCGAGGAGCAGATCGACATTCTGCAGTAATAAGCTATCCTTTCGTTTTATACATGCTACTTACATCTTAGGAATTGAAGGGTGCTATTGAAACTCTTGCTATGTTTCTAGCGAAGTTTACTATGTTCCTTTGCGAAATAGACTTTATTGACAGTTCATTTCTGGACCACTAAGGACATAGTACAATTAAAAAGAAAATTGATATGCGCGGAAGGAAACTATAATATTCTTTCCGTGCACGTGTGCTCCGCGAAGAGTGTACTCGTATTTATAAATGTAAATAGGGAACACACAGGCGGGGCTGATGATTTCTCCTGACGCCATCTGCGATTCCCCATAAATTCAAATGTTATGCCGCTCATGACAGTCGGTATTGTCCGCATTTGCATTAAAGAGATGCAGGACGCGCGCAGATAATTCGCACGCGTTCGGAAATCCTACGCGGCCGTTCACATCATTGGCCAATGATGATGACGACGAGTGTTAATTCGCAACCGAACGGGCGGTTTATTTTCATTTTTCTTACACCCATGTTGCGTCTCTCTCTGGCGCAAAAGTGCGATCGCGTCGCATTGTGATCTCCGATAGCTTTGAAGGCATTTAACAAGCGCATCCACCTGTCGATTCACGCGCGCCATCGATGGAGGACGCTCGCGTGTCTAACGCAACTGTAAAATGGACAAATCAGAAACAATGCACCATAGGATACTCATGCATGCACCCGATTTCGTCACGTTTATCAAGAGCACTGCGCAACGGCGCGTTGTTGCGTCTCGCGAGGAAACGAAGTAAAATCGGCCGGATTCTTCGCATCCCCGTATTGAGAGAAATTATCCGATAAAAAATTAACAAACAGATATTTCCGATCAAAATACCAATGAATTTTTGTATCTGATCAGGAAACATCCGATGAGAAATATCGGTTCATAATTTTTTTTTTTGATCGGTTTATCTAATAAAATGCCACTCAGTCGGAAATATCCGATAAAATTTAATCAGATATTCTAATCGGATATAAAAATTGATCGGAATTTTATCGGAAATATCCATTTTGTTAATTTTTTATGGAATAATTTCTCTCAGTGTGCAACCTCTGCACACGAGGAGTTATAAAAGAAACAATGGCTAATTTAACGAAAATTATAGTTATTTTTAGGTTCAACCGTATTTTTAGTTGTTCCAACATGAAAATAATAATAGTACATAGTGAACTTTGCTAGAAACATTGCAAGAATTTCAACAGTACGTTTCGTTTCCTAAAATACAAGTAAAATATAAGTAGCACGTATGAAAGTAGTAGTAATGCGCATATAAGATTATTATCAGTAACATTACAGTATAATTTAAATAGTAAAAAAATAGTTTTCTTAATCATAATTTATAGTAATTATTTCTCTGTATGATTATATAGTTACAAATATCAAGCACTTTTTCCTCAGTGCGTCACTAGCCCAACGTTGAAAATAATGGTGATTCGTGTGGGTAGTAGATCGTTGGGAATATTGCTGTGTAATAATTTCGTAGGGAAATCACGTTTCATTTATTACTCATCTACTCGAGTGGGTATAATAGGACGTTCCACGTGCAACGAGATCTGTTATCTCAGGGATTTATAACTCGAGAATTTAATTACGAATATCGATAGAATAATAATTGAGGCAATATTTCCCAACAGATGAATTAATCGTGGACTGAAGAGTAAGACAACCTTTCATTGAATTCGGCCTCTCTTTTCAGCCGATTCGCTCCACGTCACTGTCGCGAGTCATTCTTCTTTGGCGCGATACACAGGAAAAAATGTCAGTTCGTGTAAACTGAATGAAGACCAGACGAAAGACTCGCTGATGAGAAATAATATGTCTCTGTCTCTGTTCGAAAACACATCCATCTGAATATTTGGCTGCACTAAAATTCGGTTGAAATAATTGAGATTAAATTAACTGAGTAGAAACCTCTCCTTCAGAAATCTTTCTGTTCCTATAACCGAGTTTTTCATCTGGTTCCCAGATAACATAGGATTTTAGCTCAGTATCCAGTTTCAGACTTGTCGTTTGCACTTTGATTCCAAAAGAGATATTCAGTGAAAACTATGAACAAATGCCGCGAGAGAAATTAGGTCTCTATGAATGACTAAGTGTAAATGACTAAAAGGGATGCTAATAATCGTGTGATGTAATAATCCACCCTCGAATTTTTATAGTACATTTATAGCCTCAATTTTTTCTTAGGTCCGTCACGCGCTTCGCGAATAATTGTGTTTTCCTGCGGCATGACCACTCCCAGAACAGAATAAACTCTTCCACCCGTACACGCGCGCGTAATTGCTCGCGGAGTCGTAATATCCCGCGGTGAGACTGTGCGATCCGCGAAAGAGAGAGAATCCGCGACTCGAGTCGCTGCATATGCGAGAATTCGCGACTCGCCGGCTGACGGCGAATCAATGCACACATAAGGCGAACACAGCAATGCGATAATTCGCACAATGCGAATGCAGCCGCGCTTGATTCCCGCGACGAAGCGCCGTGTGTGCCTGCATGCGTGCGTGTCAAGCGCGAAAAACGGCTATTCATCATTTTCCATGGTCGATTATCGTCCGGGCGACGCTGAAAAGCTCGTCGTTACTTAGCGATTCGTCCTGTCCCGATGGCAGTCGAGCGGTGTAAATGTCAAAACTTATGTCATCGGCGGTCCCGTCGACCGTAACCGGAGTGCGTTTTACCGTATTCGGTACTGACACGCGACGACGTTAATCAATCGATAAATTGCACCAAGAGCTAACCGAGTCGCTCTAATGAGCCCCGTCGCGCCGATGAAATTTATGATAATAACAATCTAGCAGATACGCGCTGACTCACTTTCTTCCGTCACTCATTACAAACTAATTGTTTTCTCGTCCCGACGATTCGTCCGATTTTTGCTGAAAGAGAAGATATTTTCAGGTAACTCGCAAGAGAGAGAAAGAGAAAGAGAAAAGAAAGAGACTTACGATTATAATTACACTTTGTTGCGATCTATATTCGTGCCGTGACACACAATTTACTACATATTTATACACTTGGCAGGCTTGTGATTACTTGGTTTTTGTATATCTGCACAATGAATACAATATCACTCCGCAAATTAGATCACGATCAATCAACGCGATCGTTAATAATTATCACGTTTGCCTCTGCGTCATGTGCATGCAAAGTATCCGCGTACTAAAACGTGCAACTTGCCGGCGTTCGTCGGTTCTTACGCGATACACAATATCGCATACAAGAAGGGAATCCGGGAATCCCGGTTTATGCGGCCGGTGTGGATTCAACCCGTTCTTAGTGTCTGAGCTAATAGCGACGTTGTTGCGGAGCATATAGCGAACTCTACTTCCCGAGTTAACGCGGCACATAAGGTAAACTTAGTGCTTACCGACAATTTCCTCGCTTGGTGTACCTATCTACCTGCCAACCTGCCTACCTACCACAACCTACCTACCTACCTATTTACTTACCTACCTACTATCTACCTAGTTCGCCGGTACATACATACATTGTAGTAAATAACGCGTATCTGCGAAATGCCGTCAAGTAAGTGGTATTCGCAATTTTCATTAAGCGCTCGTTGCCACAGGAGCCTCTCGAACTCTTCGTTCTTTCGTCATCAACGTGTCCGACGCACTCTGCGAACCGAATAGTCCGTAAAATTCACAAATTCGCGTATTCTCGTGATTCACGTACACTACGAGAAACACTTGGTAGTAATTATATAGATGACAGCTGTACGAATTTAAGAAAATTGTACTTAGAATATATTTCTTTTGATTTTAGAAAAATTCTCTTGAAATCATATGTATATATATATATATATATATATATATATATATATATATATATATAAGAGAATTCTGCTAAGGATAAAATTATATATATATTTTTTTTTAGATATATGTACAATTTAATGATTTTGTAATTATTGGAACTGAAGCTGAATGGTAATGAGAACTTACATATAGTTCTTTCATTCTCCTAACTATTCAGCTTTATTTGCAATAACTGCGCGCGCAAAATAGTTTATTAAATTACACTGATTCTACATAAAACTCGTACAATTGTCATCTATATAATTGAGAGAATGATTTTTCGCCGGTGCCGTTTCCGTGCGAATTTATTCGCTTCTGAGGTAGCGAATCCGGGCATAATCGCACGGATTATCCTTCATGGACGATGAAATTGCGACGTTGGATACAC